TGCCCCCCACCTCCATCGCTCTGCCCTCGATTGCCTCCCCTGGCCAGCGAGGCACTAATCAAGCATCTGGATGAGAAGGCTGTTCCCACAGGGACAGAGCCTGGTGGTTACCTTCGGGGAAAACGGGGTGACTGAGAGAGGCTTCCTCACAAAGGCAGCTCGGCCAGGGGCGGGGAGGAATGCTGCTTTTGTCATCTGCTGAGGCTGGAGGGTGGGGGTCTGACCTCAGCCTCCCAATGCACAGCTCAGTCCCCTCCCCTTGGCCTGCTAGGGACTTCATAGCAACTTGCTCAGTCTCAAGGAGGGGCTGTGTGCAGGCCAGGTCAGGAATGCAAGCAGGTGCTTTCTTGAGGTTTTCATCTGGTTCGATTCCTGCCCTCTCAGAACACCCTGAAAAGCTGGAGAGGAGTGAGGAGATGCCAAACACCCTCTCTGGGGAGCCAACAAGAAGCCCTGGGGCTTTTTTGAAGTAGGCTGTTTCCCCATCCACCATTTCCTCCTTCCCTCCTGACCCTTTCTCCCTTCTTAGGTATGCTCCTTGGGAACCAGCAAGCTGCACATCTTGGCCTGACATGGCCTCAGATGCTTTTTGGCCTAGAGATAAACTGAGTAAGTTGATGGCTCCATCTCTCAGAGGACAAGAGTGATGGGGGGCTGGGAAGGTGGCTCAGTGGTAGAGTGCTTGCCTCATATGCATGAGGCCCTGGGTTTGATTCCTCAGCACCACATAAACAGAAAAGATCAGAAGTGGCACTCAGTGGCTCAAGTGGTAGAGTGCTAGCCTTGAGCTGAAGAGCTCAGGGACAGCGCCCAGGCCTAGAGTTCAAGCCCCACGACCGACAACAAGGAAAAAAAGACAAGGGTGATTCACTGTCCCCCTGGGTGCCAGCACCCATCAAGAACTGGCTCAATGGGTGCCTATTTCATGCACAACTATTTACAGCTATTTTTTTCTCTTCATTCTTTTCCTTTCTCCCTTCCATCTTCCCCCCTTCCTTCCTTCTTTCCTTCTTCCTTTCCTCCCTCTTTCTCCCTCTCCTTCCTTCTGTTCTTTCCTCTTCTTTCTTTCCCCCTGATTGGAGAAACCTCAGGAGGAGAGCAACTCCAAGCTTCTGGGGCCATTCCTTGTCTTGTCCCATGCTGGAGCATAATGGGAAGTCCATCCTGGAGTCTAGCTTTGAACACTGGGGAGGTGGGACTTGGAATCCTCCCCCAGGCTCACCATCTGACTCTCAGCAGCCCCTCTTCTCCAGCCCCTCCTTCTTAGTTCTTTCATCCTTCTCTTTGAGCCCTCCCCACCCCCACTCCTCATCCAGGCTTAGTTCTGCTTTCCAGGAAAAAAAAAAAAGCCCTGTTTCTGTTGGATCTGAGTGGTACCGCGGCCAGGAGAGGAATCCAGGGCGTGCTGGCTAGGTGGCAGCTCCAGGGCAGGAAGCAGCAGAGGGAAGGCTAGGAATGCGGGTGGCAACACACTGCCCAGTCCGTGCCCCAGGACCCCAGGACTTTGGAATTTGAGAGAGGGATCAAAGCAATTGGGCAGTGTCATCTCAGCGGCTTGGGTTTGGGAAGGGGGTGACGGATGGCCTCTCCTTTCCAGGGGTCATTGAGGTCAGCAACCCCACCCTGATAGAAGGGGGTGAAGCTGAGGGGAGGACCCACATTCTACCCCAGCCTTCAGCCCTCTGCCGGACTGGAGGCTGGAGGGAAGGAGAGCTTGTTCTTTCTCGGATTGGGCTCCGTCTCTACTCCTTGCTTCTCCTGCCACGCCAGGTCCAGTCCTGCGGCCTGCCCGGGGTCTACCCAGTACATCTAATCCTGTCCTGAGCTGGGTTTGGCTTTGGCAGATCCCTGGAGAAGTGAGGGGTGGGGGTGACGTGAGCTCCCGGGGCCCCGGCCAGGCCTGGCGCCCTCTCTGGAAAAGTCCCACCCTATCCTCCCCTGCACAGCTGGGCAGGGGGCCGATACCCCTCTCTGTGGAGACAGACACAGATCTGTACTCTCTCCCGTCCTGTACCCCTCATCTGGTGTCTTTTGGTGCCCAGGGTGAGGAAAAGAGAGGTCAGAAAGGATCGCTCCGTTATCGGCTGCACCCGGCCACACCTCCCCAGCCCGGCGAGCGATCACCGATCACCGAGAGGGACCTGGGCACAGTCCCCCCTCCCCCGCCCCGTCCCTTCCCCAGGGACTCACCTCTAGGAAATGGGTCGCTGCAGGGCAGGGGGAGGGGAGGGAGGGCCGGGGGTGGAGTCCCCGTCCTGGGAGAGAATTCGTTGGTGCCCACGGAGCTCTCCGCTCCAGGGTCCTGGAGGACATGTTAACAGGTGTCTCTCTTTTTCGTCAATCTCCCCCCCCTGCCCCCCCCGGCCATCGGGCCGAGCTGTAGCAAGGACACTCACCCGCATCCCTGCCGGCCACCCCGCCCTCAGTTCCAGGGGGGCCGGGGCCGGAGGGCGGGAGGCGCCGGCGCGTGCGGGGTGGTCCTGGTTATGTTACCCAACTTTATTATGTGACTTAGCAGGAATTCCTGGCTCATTCCCCCGCCCCCGGGTGAGGGGACCAGAGTTCCAGGGGATCCGACCCCCCCCCCGTTTCCCAGGAATTCAAACCCCGGGGCTGGATGTTCTTAGGAGATC